GGCTAAGCTTAAAACCGATGTCAGCTATCAGCGTCACAACAAAAGAGATGTAGACGACAGAAGCAAGCTCAGTGAGTGGAACTGGGTGCTCTTGTCAGCGACAAGCAAAATTTCGGTATGATTAGCGCTTCCTAGGATAGAACTTTTACTTCAAGTTTCGTTGTTCTTATTGTTGTTAGAAGACGCTTCTTTTCCAATATTGTATCACCGTTAAGCAACACTGTATGGTGAAAAAGAAGAAGTTCCATGGAGCGCCAGGTATTGATGTGTGCGTCGACTGTCGGTAAGCGACTTTAACTGATTGACGGACAGGATACCAGCTCTGTACGACAATGGATAGAAAGCGTTGAAAATTATTTGACTTGTTTTGTTCATATCGCTTTGCTTGTCTTCTGAAGTTCGGCATATCTTCTTCGTGTATGCCTTGAGAACAAGGACTGGATAAGGGGATTTCGTCTCAAGGCGAATCTGTTCTGTTGTCCAGCTGTCTACCGTCATATCTGAGAAAATCTGTCAGAAACTCTGAGGTTTCTGAAATTTCTTAACTGACCGAAGCGGTCAGAGCCAAAGGCATCTGGTTCGAACCTCTCATCTTATACAACACAGTTTTGTCAGGGAGAGGATAAATCATTTTCAAGCTCGGCTGAAAGACTAAAAACCGCAGGCCAAATTTAATCTCGCATTATGTGCATCTTGCTGTCCATCCGCCAATTGTGAAACATGACACTACCTTGACTGATTGACCGATTTTGTGTTTACACTGAACGATGGCTTGCTATCAGTCGAATCAGGGTGCAGATGGGTCAGCGTGGCTGCAGGTCGCGTAAACTACAGCATGAAGAAACAAGGGCGGCAGCACTCTGCGATCCTTCGCGTGCCAATGTCGGCCAGTTATTATGAATGATTCCTATTTTGCTACTGAAATGATCCATAAGTGACTTTTAACTCCTTTGACTCCTTTGTTAGTTTAATGCTGCATTCTTCGACATAGCTTTCCCACTTTTACGGTGCGCGATCTAAGCTTATTCTAGGTGAAGTGGTTCAAGTGTATGTTCTAGATCATCGCTGTCTTCTTGATTATTTCTTCTTTTTTTACCTGTTTAAGTTCTGAAGCACCAGAAGGGCGTTTCGCCGTCTTTTTTTGAATATATTTGCGCTGATTGGCCACACTATACGGTCAGAACGATAATAATCAGTTATGACCATACCAGAATGCTATGTTTAATCTGTTGTTTATTTCTCGGCTGGCTATATCGAAGCTACATTCCACAAGTTCCTAGTGTAAGTGAGCTAGCAGTTATGACAAATTTGTCCTCTCTTGGCACTAGAACATGATACTTCTGGAGTTTGAAATCTATCACTGTGCCATTGTATCACCCAGTTTCCCTCCTCTCCTGTTCATGGCAGTGTTTGTCGTTCCTTGATCTAAATCCCCATCATTCTGTACTGTTTGCGGCTAAAAATTGGTAGACGACTTATTCATGTAAGCATTTGTCAGAAGTAATTTCTCCTGTAACAAAATTTTGCCTAGCTATTCTTTTTTGCGCCATTCTAATCCATCATTACTTTTTCATATCCTTCCACCCTCACGCATAATGAATGCAAAACGTTTAGAATTACTCCGTTTTCAATGAGTACAGTAATAGATTTTGTCCCTTGTTCAGAGGGAAGACACATCCTGTAAAATTTTGGAAAATGTTTTGCCTCAAATGTTGCATATGGTGACCATTATGACGTAAAGTTTGTTTCTTTTCTTTCCCCTTCCTGGTGTTATCCGTTCAACGTTGTCCGAATCTTTCACTGACCAAGTCGGAGATTTGTCAGCCCCTGTTCAAAGGGCGGGCGGCTTGGTGAAAACATTTCAATGATTTTTTCTGGTTCTTTACAAATTGAACTTCGATGCTATCGTAGCGAAAAGTGGGTAATCATCAAATTAAGCGGATTAAGCAAAGTACGATGTAGCGTATTTTCTGTAACCAGGATGGGAGCTGCATATGCTTTTGCTGAATTTCAAAACGGTCAACTAACTACAGCGTGTCAACCAGAGTTGATAGATCCCTGCTAGTCATTAATGCTTCATCTTCATATTCACCTTCCATCGCCGCTTCTCCTTTCAGGTCGCGGTAGCAGACACGTCAGACAGAGCTTCCAACCTTCCCGATCCTGTGCCAGAGTCTGAGCTTCGGCAGAAGATATCCGGAGTCTGGAACAGACTCCTTCCATTTATTTGCACCAGGTTAATCTTGGCCGTCCCCTGGGCCTTCTGCCGGTCGGATTTGCAAGGAACAGTTGCTTAGCCTTCCTTATTGGAGGCATTCGCAACACATGTCCAAACCATCGCAGCTGTGACTTCTCAATCTGGAGAAGCAAAGGCTGTATACCAAGGCTTTTCCGGATGTCACTACTCCGGACCATGTCGAAACGCGTACGGCCAGTCATTAATGCACAGGGAAAAATACGTGTAGGGAAAAGATACTGTGACTCGTAATACAACATAAGGACTGTAAACCATCCGCTGTGTTATTCTCCGCGTAAACCATAGCAATCTTTCAATAATGTCCTCTACAGCCCAAACGAAGAGGCGCCTTTGACACCAATATTGACCGCGAATCGATGTACACCCTTATCATGTAAATCAAAGTCAAACAACATTTTAGTCGTTTGGCACGTGAGCTTCGGACGGCAAGGTCGTAAGCTTCGTATGTTCTAGCATGGTGGGAGTACTAGCTGGAAGGACTCAGCAAGTCAGTTTTTCAGAAGTCGTCAACTTTCAACACGTTTCTAAACTAGCTGAAAAGGACACATTCCGCGCTTATGGGAAATGAACAGATAACAAGGAAATGTGTCGATTTCACTTCGATTTAAATGAGGAATTGTAACGAAGTGAAGGTCATCGAATGGACCACTATGTACTTCGACCTGGTCCTTTGTTATATTTGTCTTGGAATAAAGTTGTTTTCACGTTATCTCAAAGAACCCGTTATTTTCGTTGTTCCCACAAAAGTTGAGGTTACCCATAAGGCAGTGTAGGGAAACTTTATTAAGTTTTAGGCATAAAGACTATATCTGTAGACATCATTAATGAATTAATCTATTCCATTAATTTCAGATAGCTAAACACTGTAAATTCAGAGAAAAACAGTGGTTTTTCAAACATGTAATAAGTCATACGTTTATCGAGTATATAAACTTATTACATAATGCGCTGTTCAATAAGCCTTTGTTATATTTGTAATACGTTATTCAACATACAAAATCCTTCTCAATCAACAGAAACCTGAACGGTTAATAGACAAGTGATAACAAAATAATGATGTCACATGCAACATATATTGCGCAGTCTTTAATGCAGCAGTTTCTACTATTGTGCTTGATTTCGATAAACTTTTTCTGCCATTAGCTTCATTGCATAAACAGCTTACGCTTAGGAGAAAGAGGAATCACTGGACTCAAGGGAATACCGGGAGCGGTCGGCGAGAAAGGACCCGTCGGCTGGCAAGGAGCACCAGGACTATCTGGTGAGCCAGGTGTCCATGGACAAAACGGGACCGACGGTAAGAAAGGGAAAATTTTTCAATCGCTTGCAGAAATTCGCCACAGGTGTGTGCAACTGCACGATGGCCGACATGCTGCGTCTTTTCCCTACAACAACTCGGATGCCTACAACAAACTTCACGACTGAGTTGACCACCGAAGAACCAGAAGTAATGACCGTCGCAAGTACACTACCAGGTAACGTTTTCTCATCCTAGACAGTCGTCCAGCGACGAGTTCAGTTTCCGAATCCAACTAATCCAAACTTTTAGTTTATTATGAAGAATCGGTTCATTCTGAAATTCTTGGATTTAACAAAAGGAGTAAGTGTTTTTTGAATGCAAATTAATGTGGCAATTGTTGCGCTGCGGTTTAGGAGCAACAGTTTGCTTTGTAAGTAACATCAACTATGAAATAAGAGTGCATCATGAAGAAATATGTAAATGTCTTTGCTAGCACGAGCATTAATTGAAATGAAACCTCGAAACCATTTGAAGAATGTGAACTTCAAACGTCACCGGTGTATTCTGTTTCTCAAAGCTTCCAACAAATGCAAGTTAAACTTACTGCTACATAAGAACTTTATCGTTAAAATGTAACGCTAGAATATATTGTATGCAAAATATATTAAACTATAGCAACATATAGTACAACATAATAGGTCACTGTGTAATCGTCACCGTATATTAATGTACACTAGCGAGAATCATTGCATGGCAAACCCATCTGATGCAACAAAATAGACAGTGTTTAAAGTTCGAACGAGTATGTCAGTTAAATTCACAACAGAACCAACGTTGCTCAGACGAAACGCTGGCGTAAAGATAAACACAAATCACCGGAGGTCCAAGTGAATCTATGATCTTTCAACCAATTCAGTTTGAAGAACAAAACAAAGAATGGAAATGAATTCTCGATAGAAACTGCTGCTTAATCTTTAACTTTTCATAGGTGTCTGCATTTGCGCTTTTATCCTTGTATCGTTTAATATCATAGGTCTTTCTTACGCCTGAGTATGTCAATTACCGAATGACTCCTCCAAGATCAAATTTAACGGCATATTGCACCGCCCCTTGACCCTAGTAGCCTAGGAGAGGTGGGAGCATTTCAGCCGGCCACAGTTACATGGTATTTGAGCCCCTCCAGTGTCAAATTATTCTTCCATCATTCTTTCCTACCAGAGTCATCTCGTGCTAATAACTAGCAATGTTTCAGGAGCTGGTACTGCTTATATGCTACTGCATAAACATCATTAGTTGTTTGCATTCCGAATATATCAAATAACGTAGCATGAAATCTGGTTTTGGAGGAGTTATTCAATATTTGATATGACATATAACAAGTCATTATATTTATGCGATAGCACTAAGAGTATCAGCTCCTGAAACATCGTTCGTGATGAGTGCGAGATAGCTCTGTCACTAAAATGATGAATTGTGCATCTGATGCTGTAAGTCCTTAAAAAACAAGGAAAAGCGCAACACGTTGGGAAATCTGGTCTTGAAGGATTCATTTGTTATCCTTTTATCGTTTTGTAATGACGTATTACGCATAGATCTGCGCATTATTTTTCGCATTACGTCTACTCTGTTGTTCTCTACATTGATCTGCTAGCCCAAGAAAACAATTCTTTATAGACTGAAGTTGTACTGACAGTTTGACGCGCAATTGATATTTTATAATTGAGGTTACTTAAGTAAAATTATTTCAATATCTCTTTTTCAGAGTGCCTTCTGGATGCTGTTGGAACTCCGGTGTTTCACAGCGAAAGTCAGTTTGGTCACGAAGGCACCTGGATGCGAGACGCTATTCTAGTTGAAACAGAAGATTTGTCATCCAGAAGATGGGTTTTCGACGGTTATCTGTCACCTGTGCTCTACGAATACCGTAATGAACTGGATCTGCTGTACAAAAAACAGTCGGCTAAGTACTTCCTCGACTATTCAGCAACAGGCACTGGAGCCATAATATTCAACGGCAGTTTTTACTATCACAGATACGGTTCCCAGAATATCGTACGCTATGACTTGAACAGTACAGAGGAGGTACAGAGGCCACTGCCTAATGTTGCCTACCAGGTATGCATTATGACTCCTGATATACAACATTGTGCCAATGTCAGGGTTATAGGACTGCACAAGAGTTGTCAACGTCCACGACAACGGCGATGACTGGTGGAACTGCAGCTTAAATGCGTCCACTAAGTACCTCTACGGTCTACCTCATAACTTTGTCGACTTTGCTGCTGACGAGAACGGAATATGGGTAGTCTACAGCAATACGGCGAACGACAGTCTGACGGCTGCCAAAATACAGGTCGAAACATTGGAAGTGATCCATCAATGGTTCATTGACATTCCCAAAAACGTAACCATCGCTAATACGTTTATCATGTGCGGAATCTTGTACGGATTAAAGAGCGCCACTAATTATGACACCGAGATCAATTTTGCATTCGACCTGTACAACGATGAATTTATCAACATTACGGTTAACTTCAGAAATCCGTTTCAGCAGACTACGATGCTGGACTATAATCCGGTCGATCGTCGCCTGTACTATTTTGATCACGGCAATCTACTGACCGTCCCTGTGCGAACAAAAGGCAGTTGGTAAAATCGCGTTGCCGATTTTCGACACATCTAGTTCCCAGTTTTTTGGTGCAATCCTACGAAAAGGCACTTATGCTTTATTCACCTTTGTATGGCAATAAATTTTTCTCGTCGGTTTGATTTTTAGCGACATTTCACTGTCTGTTATGAACAACTTCTTCGAGCATTGAACAATACATCAGTATACCTGGTACAGGAAAGCTTCTGCACAGAAGTCGATGATTGATTTCATATTCGTATCGTCTGAATAACGACTCTCTGTAATGCATGTTCGCTTGAAGTTGTCAACCGATCATCACCTTGTTGCTGGCACGCTGCGCTGTAAGAAATGGAGTACCATACGAAGATCCGGCG